TTACGGTATGTTGTAACTGTAACTACGCGTTGTGATTGGATGAATTACTTTAATACAATAATGAACTATTAATGAAACCCATTTTGATGTTACGGCATGTCGTAACTGTAAGTACGCGTTGTGTAATTCAGTATTGAACGTATATGTTATACTCATACGAAAATCGCTCTAACAGGTTAGTTTTAGTTTTTCAACGTAATTCTTGCAAAGATGACCTACAAGGCAGCAAGCAAGGTATAAACGTACTCGGCCCCAAACAATACTTATTCTCTTCGAAGAAATGGTCTTTTAAACTTTGAACCTTTTATGTTCTATCATTGTCTTCCTGTTCAATTAGGAGCCCATCAATTTGTATCAAGATTAGCGAAAAGCAAACATCTTAATGGACGGTGTACAGCAAGCACATCTGATCTACTTTCACTTCCTGATACATTTAGATTCCCCTGTCATTATTTAAGTCGAGAACTGATAAGTTGCTTATCGAGAACAGTTGCCGGATTTATGTTCAGCGTCAGAGCTGTGACGAGGAATATCCTAAATTCCTATCGAAAATTTTGATCCCAAATCCCTAAAATTTTATCTTAGAAACTTTAATTCCTGATCCCAACAATACCAAAAATCATATATAATCCTGTCTATCGTTTTTCTCTTATCCCTGATTTCTGGTTTTCCTAATTTCGATCTGTGATGACATCTGACCCCATAGCTATGCATTGCCTTATTATCAGGGCGACACCAAAGGAAAGCAACTTGTCTCGCAACAGCGTTGCGCGACACAAGTTGCATGAAGTATTGCAGCGCGTAACCTACAGCGCAATTTGAAAAAAATGTCATTTGCGAGACAGGTTGCAGCATTCGTTGCGAAAAGTAGCTAAATTCGTTTCTACTTTTGGCAGCGATTGAGCCTTCGTTGCACCGTGTAATCGCTCCTCAAGAAGTAGCCAATTTCCGTAACTGGACAAAGGGGGCGCCATTTTACTATATAAAACTAAACATATATTGTCTTATCACTGGGGTTGGGTGCAAAAGCAGTATATTATGCACTTACTGACGTTTGAAAGAACAACAGAACCCGAAAGACTTTTCAAAATGCCGTCATCTTGTAAGGTTGGATTAAAACCGGACATCGTCTCAGTAGTATTACTGAATCAAAAGCTAAGATGAAAACGTAAAATTCAAAACGTATGTAATCATCGCGTAATTTAAGAGCCTACAATTGGTTTTTGTGCAGTTGCTGCAGACAACAGACAGTAAAAAATAAATCTTAGGATCAGTTGAGTTCCCTTCGGCTGTCTACCGAAGGCCGCAAAGACCTTAGACGCACACAACACCGATAGAATCCCGAACGAAAACTTTTGCTACCGAATGCTTCCCGACGAATGTCGTCTAAAGCCAGACTCAGATCGAGTTCTTTGGGTACCTACAAGGAATGACTGCGCATGCGTGGCTGTAGGACTTATTTGATTGTTCCGTCTGATCGATGTGGGTGAGCCAGTTGATAGCCTTCTTAGCCCAGGTAATCGTCTCTTAGAGAAAGGAGACGAGTGGATTAGTACATGTGTCCTGAGTTCCCTCTGAGGTAGGATCAATGTCTGTTTGCCTTCCTCGTTCGTCACCACTAACTGTGGCAACGAATAATTACGTGGAGTGAACGCTCGAGACGACAAGGGTCTGCTTGAACAAATACTCCCTCTAAGTGACTGGGTCTCTGAATTAGGCGTTGCTCGAGGCAAACTCTTCATACTCGCTAAGGGAGCCTGGGACGAGTTCGAAGAAACACGTGACGACCTGGTGTTGAGGCGACGTCTAGCGCGTTTTCTTAGGAGCGAGTCTTTCCCTCCAGCTGCCAAGAATATGATTCCAATCACGATAATCAGAGATAATGTGACTACCCCGATGATTAAAGCAATGGGAACTTTTTTACCTGAATGCGGAAAAAATATAAATAAGTTAGAAATGTTGTTTTTGTAGTAGCAGACATGGCTGTGGTTTGGTGCTGTTGCACATGCGCATTTTATCTCATATTATGTCAAGCATGCAGCAATTTGTTTGAGTTCCTGAGCGGTTAGACTTCAATGGTATGGGCCGCCCTTCAAAAATATCTTTTTCTTCCATTATGAAATTCACCATAATATTGAGCGAGCTTGTTATCTTCGCGAAATAGATATTTGCCAAAACGTATTTTGCAACCATAATTTCCCTTCAAAGTTAAGCTCGCCGGAAAATAAGCCCATCCAAAAAGTGCACAATACAAGTATTAACTTATCTTTAGCTAATAATATTAGCTTATCATTAATACAATTTAGAGGTTTAATTTAAAATTACCGCGGTAACTGTTTCAAAAGTCCCATCTAAAAAAGGAACACTTACCATCTGGTGGATCTTGTCTCGTGTCTTTGATAACTTCATAATCAGCCTTAAATCCTTTGCCTTCCACGCGAAGGTTTGAACGGAATTGTACCCACATGAATCGAGTTGTAGATCTTACAGAAAATTTCCCAAGAATCCCGCAATAAACACCCAAAAGAGATGCCGAAGATTTCCATCCATCGTACACCCGTACAAAATCTACATCAACGCAGTTTCTACTATTCGAAGAAGAACTTGGTTCTAGTTCAAATATGGTGAAGGTCAACTGTATGACGTAACCGATTGGACCGCTTATTGTCCAATCACAATGCGTGTTAGATGGATAGGGTGATGTGAGCGAGTAGTCGGGACTGTAGATTGTACCTTGGGAATTATTAATACTGAGGTTGGTATTGATGCTTGGAGGATTTTGTTTTGAACATCGTGAGTTACCTCGGAGAAAAAAAAATCATAAAATCATAAAAGATGATGAACAAAATATTTATATTTTGTAAAATATTTTAGAATAAAATTTCACGAAAAGATCTTTATTCGATAAAGTTCTAAGCTGTATTATACATCAATCATTTCTTGCTAATCATCGCGCGAATTTAATAGTATCACGATGGGCTATGGCATTCTATCCAATACCTAGGATATGTACACTAACGTACCCTCTTACTAAACTCTAAGCTACTTGGATTAGAGAGAAAGTCCAACTATGGACCTCTCGTAGCGCTAAACTTACTGCACATGCCTGTACACCAAAATAACTAAACACTGTTTCACCATTTCGGTGTTTCAAAAAGTCGAAACATATATATTTCCTTTCCCACTCACTGATGAGAATAAATTTTAACATGCGTACACACGTTGCGAATCACCTGCAAAGCTGCATGAAAAAGGCTGTGTTTTGGGTGTCACACGGTTCCATATTGCATGAGACGTTGCATTCTGCGTCGCAGTAATAGTTAGTCACTTCTACTTCTGCCATGCAACGTTGCATGCAGCATCGCACCGGCGTGTGTCGGCACCTTAAGTTATCTATTGTTTGTTTAGAGTACATTGCTATCACTCACCTTTAACGAAACTTAGCTCCATACACAAAACACAAACTACAAGACAAAAAAGGAAATTCAATAAAAACTGGTTTCTTTCGTTTAACAACACAACTCAAGAAAAGAGTTTCGACTTTCAGAGTCACAAAGATGTAAGTTATTTAATTTTATCAGTGAAAGTTGACTGAAAAAAGTCTTAAGCAAAGTCTCTGTAATCCTCTGAGATTCGTAAAGGATTAGTTTACTAGAGAAATGTCACAAGTCATTTTTCGATTCTGATGATATTCACTTTGTCGTTCAGTAAAGTTGACTCCATTACGGAGTGTTTGCTGTTTAGTTTAGTCATTTAGTTCACAAGGATTGAAAATGTTAAATGTCAATTAAAATAATCATTTCTTTTCATCGAAGGAGCTTAACGCAGAGACAACAAACGATTTGAATAAACTAATTAACATCAGAACTTGGGGCATTTAGTGAACTCAGTTCGGAAACGTTTTGAAGAATATATTTTCGAGGGAATAAACTTAGATGTTTCGAATTCAAGCGTTCATTTTTTTAACTAAAATATAAAGTAGAAAATAGATTGTTTAAGATTCTATCGGAAACAGGAGAAACAGTAATGTATCTGTAAAGTCTAGAAGTGCTTACTGAACCACTTCATTGCATTCTCCATTAAGTAAAATTACGAACATTACGTTCAAAACAACAGCAAAATTACTCGACATCTTACTTACTTAATATTGACAAACATTGTAGACATTCGTTCATATATTTGGTAGACATCTCAAAAAGACGGTTATAATTTCACCGCCACGAATTGCTGTGTTCACCATCAACCATTATCTCAACCATTACTATCATGTAAAAACGCAAGGAGCGACGTTGCCGTGGAAACAAACACCTCGGAGTTTAGTAGGCAGTGACAAAGAGATTAGGGTTCATTGTTCGAGAAAAATGGGCAAAACAAGAGACAAAATTAAAAGTGGTACACGCACAATACTGAAGTGTTTAAAAGAAAACATTGTTCAGTTAATATATTGAATCCCTTTTTTTATCTATTGATGACAAAGATGCCTTCTAGAAAGCTGTAAACCCACCCAACATTTCATCTAGTTTATTACAGCTCTATCTAGTTATTTAGTATCAAATTGCAGTGCCGAAGATGATCACTTTTTGAATCAACATTGAAAACAGTTTAACAAGTAAATTTCTTTCACAAAAATTGATGAGAACCATGTAACAAAGTAACAATGGTTGGCGTGGAAAAAGCGGCACTTTGCTTGCCATGGTGACACTTTACGTGTGTAGTTACGTAGTTATGGATGGAACACATCAGGTAGAATTGAGAAAACTGTGTTTTTCAACTTTAACCAATTTTGCTTCGAAATGATACAATCGCAAGCTGTTACTACCTCAAAGAAGATAAGAAAATGATTTTTGAAAATATTCCTTCACAACCATTAATATTTGACTGAGGTATTTGTCTCAAGCTTTCAGGTTTCTTTTTTCTTACGCGCTCTCGCGGTGTGAACTCCACAAACCCCTCTGGTATCGTTTGAGGCTTGATATTTTGATTCCACGAGAAGAGTGATTTTACAGCACTTTGAACTAGAGCTAGCGATAGAGTAAAGAATAGGATGTAGCGTAGATTGAATACACAATACGACGATACTAATATTCTGTTTAGCAAGATATAGTGAAAGGAGTTCACAATCAAATCTGTATCTCTTTTAATTGGTAGATGAATCCAGCAGAGTCAGTAACGCTGTTATTGAAAGCATCATTGAAAAGAGTCAGTCTTTGACGTAATTGAATGATCGCCAGATTAGAATTGGGTTGATCTTAGTTTGGTTGCTTTGCTGCCCAAAGATGACGACATGATTATTCGATAATACATCGAACAGTTAATAATATAAGAAAAAATCACGACAATAATGTAGAAGGCATTACTATTATCTAACCGGTTGAAAAGTCAAAAGCTACTCTCAAAAATGAATTGTCCTTCTATTAGGTATTGCCCTATGTTATCCGACGAAGGACTAGCGTCCGGAACAGTCAGTAAGTTTTTTCATCTTTTCACGGTGTA